AGCCAGCTTCAATACTCTCAAGGAGTTCGTAGGCCGCTCTGCATACATGCTCAAGACACCACCAATTATACTCTTAACAGAGATCACTAATTACATCAAAGCATAGGTAGGAAGAATTCTGACATAGATAAACTCACAAACAGTGTCTCCATTTAAGAGCTCAGTAAGGGCCTCATTTCACCAAAGAGAACTGCTGTTTGCTGTTGATCCGCAGTTTAACTTGAAATCCAGGGCAGGCACTTTTCCAAACTGCACCCGCTTACCTCCTGCCTCCTGCAACTACAAATAACATACCAAAGGTAACAATCAGTACGTTTACATGGACAATATTATTTCAATATTAACACGATTAAAACAATACTCTGATTAAAGGGTCATGAAACCCCAGACTACTTTTTCTGATATTTTAGCAGAGGTGTTATGTTAGCATCCGATAATTTTAACTGTCGGAGAAAACTGGTTAATTTTAAGCTTTTTTGTGCTATTTTCATCTTCCGGGTTTAAAATCTACATTGTGTTGATGTCACAATGTGTGACGTGGCAATGGACTATAGTACATCGATGACACGTCTGTAAGATCTAAAAATGCATTTAATGACCCCTTTAATACGCACTGTATTAACAAGTTATTCAGACATATGTAAGACAACATAGAAAACATACATTTGGGCTTAATAGGGTCACTACCAACCTGTACTGTTATTTTGTCAATTAAACACAAAAGTAGAAATTGAGGAATCTTAATGTTATTTATATTCTTCACAATTACAGTAAGCATATTGACTATTTCAGCACAAGTGGAGCCAGGTATCATGCAAGCACAGAAATGTTAAGACTGATGAGTAGGATGAGAGAAAACGTCTCAGGTTACTTATGTAACCATGGTTCCCTGAGTAGGGAACGAGACACTGCGTCCTCTAGGGGTCGCTATGGGGAACGCCTCGTCGTGACCAGTGTCTGAAGCATACATTGAAAAAACACCAACTCGTTGGCCGGCGACAGCCATGACGTCACTACCGGTGCGACTATAGTATAAATAGGCGCCGGGAGCACACATCATTCACTTCTTCGTCTAGCTTGACATGTCTACTTTTAAACGAAGTAAGTCATGACGAAAACAAATATTATGTGACAAAGTAATCAGTATGAAACCAACGCGATGTCAAGTCTTGGCAGTCGCCTTCATTATCGCTAATGTGACCACGCCCACGGGCCGATCGCGCTTTTGATATTACAATCATCCACGTGAGATGCGCGCATGTAAACGCCCACATCACAGCAAACAAAGCAACGAGACATTTCCTCAAGTTCACCTCGGCTACTTCGCTTCTGGAAGAAGAAGCGCTGAGAGGAATAAGCTTTGGATTTTCCTCAGAAGAACGCGCCGGCGTGATATTCAGTGGAGGATATAGTAAGTCTTTTTTTATTTGCCTACTTGCATTAGTTGCTACTGTGTTACTGAGACATAACTTGTACATATTTTACTAGTTACTTTTTCCAAACCATGATTCCTGACTAAATGTATAATCAAGTGAAACATTATGAAGATTCATTCACTGCATATATGTCTCACAACGCCAGGAAGTTTTTTTTATGTTCTATAAAATAGACAGCAACGATATAAAAGTAATGTGAGTTATAATGTTAATA